CTCAGCGAGCTCTTTCTACTGTCTAGTGGCGAAATCTCGCGCGCAGAGAGTCACTTGTCCATCACTCTAAAAAACGACCTCATACAATGCACCTTGCACAGCTGATCTGATTTTCGTCGTACCGGAGAGCTCGCCGTTTGCCAAGCCGAAAACAACGTGGAGAGAAGAATTACATAGCAAAAAATTTGCATTGCAGTCCTACAACACCTGCTGCTCCTGGGTTTCCTAACAGTTGCGTATTATACCATACCTAAATAGACTAAACAATATAATATACACTTCCCCTACAACCTACATCATCTACGCATAAACAATGACTCTGAGGAGAAATCCACTAGAAAGGGAAACGGCCTGTCCGACCCCAATTCTGCTCTTGCTATCTGATCAACCTCTAGCATGCCAACGTCTCTCTCAGGGCTTCCACAGTGTGGTGGTCTCGAAGACYAGGGAGGTGACGACGTATGGGTCCATGTTGGACGCCGGGCGGCGGTCCTCCATGTACCCCTTCTTCTTCGCCTCCGTGTCACGTCCGATCCGCACGGACGTTCCGCGGCTCGCCACAGCCCACGAGAACTTGTCCATGCTGGCCGTCTCGTGGCGACCCGTCAGCCGCCTCTCGTTGCCCTCCCCGTAGGCCTTGATGTGCTCCTGATGCCTCAGCTCCARGTTCGTTACGGCCTGCATGATCACCTCCCACCCGCCGTCCTCCCTCATCGCCTTGGTGCTGAAGTTGCAGTGGCACCCGGCACCGTTCCAGTCGCCCTCCACGGGCTTCGGGTCCAGGGACAGAATAACCCCCTCCAGCTCGGTTATCCGCTCCAGCAAGTAGCGCGCCACCCACAGCTGATCGCCCGCCTCGATGCCGATGGCCGGCCCCACCTGGAACTCCCACTGCCCGGGCATCACCTCGCCGTTGGTCCCGCTGATCTTGATGCCCGCATACACACAGGCCTTGTAGTGAGCGTCCACGATGCGCCTCCCCCACGCCTTGTCAGCCCCAACGCCGCAGTAGTACGGCCCCTGCGCGCCGGGGTAGCCGTTGACGGGCCAGCCGAGCGGCCACTTGTGCTCCTTCTCCAGCAGSGTGTACTCCTGCTCCAGACCRAACCAGGGCTCGGCGTCCAGCGCCTGCTCGAACAGCTTGTTGGCAGCGTAGCGGGTGTTGGTGGGAATGGGTTCTCCCTGAGGCGTGTAGCAGTCGCACATCACCAGGATGTTGTCCCCGCCGCGGAAGGGGTCTCTGAAKATGGCTTGGGGATAGAGGATGACCTCGCTGTCCTCGCCCGGAGCCTGGCCCGTGCTGGAGCCATCGTAGTTCCACTTGGGGAGCTCAGACACCGMCTTCACSGGGCCGGGCAGAGTGCGGGGCTTGCTGCGGATSTCCAGCCCGCTCCCACCCACCCAGATGTACTCCGCGATGATGCGCTTCTCGTCCGCCGGCATCTCCAGCCTCAGCAAATCGTCAACGGTGCCCGCCATGCTCGCGATCTCCCACGTCGTCCTGTGGTCCTCTCCCCTCTCCCCTTTTCGTCTGGCTGACTCGGAAGCATGAAACACGGAAGCCCGTTTACTCAAAAAGGCTATTTGCGTCTCGCACTGCTTTTTCTGCCCTCCTTCCCCAAATCTGATGGCCCACTTCGATGAGAGGAGAAAACTGTGCTGATGGCAGGCAGCAACTCCATCGCCGGCTTTTATACCGGAAGTGGTTGCTGCTTCGCGGCCACAGCTSGGCCGTTTTACCTATTGAGCCCCCCGCTCCACTACTTGGGAGATGCACAAAAGACCAAAAGTGCTGCGGTGTATCTTTCCATGTGTTGTTCCGGAAGAGTCGGGAAGACTMATCATTCTCATTATGCTCATTTCGTGAGTAGTTGAGCGACGCGCATTATTTCCAACTTCCATTCGCGGCCCTCCAACGCTCCCCTCGTACTCTTTGCTAGGTTCCACCGAGGCTGCTCTTTGCACGTCCGCCCATGGGTAGCGCCTCGCTGACCAGTCTCTGAGATCATAGGTCTTGGGCACTGGTCTCTTGTGACTGGACACCGGTCTCGCAGGGAGTGACACGTCACATGCTTTCATTTCTTTTATTTTATTTTTATATATATTATTTAATGCGCAGGGGCCATGCTTTTTTTTTTTTTTTTTTTAATTTGAACCATTTCTCGATTTGTGCCTGTCATCCTTGCGCAGGGGCCATGCTAATCTTCTCTGTATCGTTCCAATTTTAACGGATGTCCCGAAGGACACAGGGGCCATGCTGATCTTCTCTCTATCGTCGTTCCATTTTTTTTTATTTTTTTTTATTTTTTTTTAATCGCATCAAATGAAAGAGGCCGAGGACCTCACAATTCTACCCGGATTGAGAGACTTCCATACCAGACCAACCTGGCACACAGCATAACAAGCAACACCGACTGCAAACGAGCCAGACCAACCTGGCAGACGACAAGACTTTGCTCGTTCCAATTTAACGGATGTCCCGAAGGACCGTGGCTTCATTATCGTTATCCGGTGTTACGTCTCTGCTCCGTCAAAAGACGTTCGGAGATCCTTCACAGCCCGGACTTCCAACTATGACCCTTGCCCTCTTTTCGCTTTCGCGAAGGGCCAGGCTTTTGGAACCCGGTCACTGGAGTCGAGCGCCCTCTTCTTCCAATTGGGAGTCGTGGGCGTCAATGTGTTGGCGTCTCGTTTGGCATGGATGGTTGCCTGGCTCTCAAGAACGACCGGGAGCCGCAGCAGCTCAGCACTCAGCCGGTCGCGAGCGGAGAGCCGTCGTAGTCACAGTTACGCAGTGGACGAGGGCGACGCGATGGGCCATGAAGTACTCCCTCCAAGAGCAGAGGAGCCACTTCAGGGGAAAAGCTAACGCGAAACAAAACTGTGGTAATGGAATGCAGCCGGGGAAAGCGTTCCTGATTGTTGTCGTTGGGTGCCGCGCCACCTGCAGAAGGGCATCCCAAAGCCGCAGAGATCATTATGTAGCTATGAATTTGAAAAGTCCAGGTGGGAGGCCCTAAAACGAGCTTCCGAAAAAAAAAAGAAAAAAAAAGGGATAACTTGCGAAATACCCCGACAAAGGCAATAAGGCTATAAGTTGAGATATATGCCAAAATGTGCCTCAAAGATCTGGGTAGAGCGGAATGCCCTTTTGGGCCTAATTCTTTGCGTTTCCCCCCAGTCAGGCCCATGTGCAAATTTGCATTSTGGACCGCGTCGTTGGGGCCTGGGCCTGCACCCTGTTTTACCCGGTTTGCCCTCCATACCAGGTGGACAACTTTGCGCAATACCCAGGGCCGTCCGTGAGGTTCCCCATCTCCATCTTCTCCTCCTGTCTCTTATACACATCTAGATGTGTATAAGAGACAGATCTCATACTCTCACCAGTCTATTTATAGTACCTTGCTCTCCCACCACAGCTGTGGTGCAAACCTACCCGGTGGGCTGGGGAGAGATCTGGGTCACTAGTCTATTTATAGTACCTTGCTCTCCCACCACAGCTGTGGTGCAAACCTACCCCGTGGGCTGGGGAGAGATCCGGGTTGGTTGGTGTTCCCCAGTACTATAAATAGGGGCTCGTTCCACACTCCTCGGGGCATCCTCGGGGCCCGAGGATGATTCCTTGGAGTCGCTCGAGGAAATTCCCGCCTTCGTTCCACTCATCCTCGGAAATGTTCCCCAAGGACGATTCCTCGGGTGCTCCCGCGGCCAGTTGCATATTTCGACACGCGGACGCGGGTGGGGGTGGCGAGGTTGGTCCAGCGGGTTGTGTCCGTGGCGTCGCCCTTGGTCCAGGAGCTGTGGGCGGCGCGAATTCGAATTTACGCGGCGAAAAAAAAAAGGCTACGAAAACGGCGCGCAGTCCCGGATTCGAATTTCGAAATTCGAATCCCAGTAAGCGAATGACGGCGGCGCGGGTGTCCCTTACGGCTGACGGCAGCAACGTTCGTCGGCGGGACCGTTTCGGTACGGGGTGGCGGCTGCGTGGCTTCTGCTGGCACGCCAAACGTCCATGAATACGTCCGAAGCAGCACGGCCGCCGTCACACGATCGCCAACGTTGTGTGCTTCGCTGCGTGCACCTTCGTCGTCGACGTGCACGCCGTACAGTCGGGTTCTTACGATGCGCCATCGCTGTTGTTCCAACCGAAGTCGAACCTTCTTCACTTGGCGAGGACGAGCGATGGACGTGGACGGGGACGCGGTTCATGACACACTCAGCAAGGCGGAGAGGGCGGCTGTGGCAGCGGTCGTGAACATGATACTCGTCAGGTGTCAATTGCAGAGGACCGAGTAGAGGATGAGAACAGCCATTCGCGCACGCTGGAAGAAGACACTGCAGTCCATTCATGTGGACGAAGAGGGCAGTGGTGCCATTTGCGACGCTGTCCTTCAGGTGTGCTATGCCGTGGGGTGTGGAGCGTTTCCCAGAGCGACGCCCAGGTGGTGGATGAAGCGTCGAATAGGGGGGGTGTGGGAGGATCTGCGGCAATGCGACGACGCGACGGAAGACTACTTCAAGGACAAGCTGCACATGTCGCCATGGGTGTTCCGGGAGATAGCGGAAACTCTGTATCCCTTCCTTCAACGGCGTGTCACTTTCTATAGGGAGCCCCTCTAACCTGACCTCATCGTAGCATTCGCTTTGTACAGATGGGCGTCGGGGGACACGTACGAGAGCGGGACGTGCAGCTTCGGCATTGGCAGAAAGTCTGGGTTGGTGGCTGTGCGGGATGTTACTTCGGCGTTGCTGAGTGCGTACCGCGACAAGATATCGTGGCCAACGTTGCTGCAAAAGGCGGTCGTCTTGCGCGCTTTCGCTGACAAGGGTTTCCCCAACTGCCATGGCTGCATCGATTGTACCCACATCTTCATCGAGAAGCCAGCCAATTGCCCCGGAGAGGACTACTACGACAAAAAACGTCGTTTCTCCGTCCAGGCTCAGGTGGTCGTCGATCTGAACTTGTGCGTGCTGGATGTGTTCGTCGGATACCCGGGGAGCTGCCACGACCTGAGGATCGTCCACCTGTCCAGTTTGTGGGCACGTGCGGAGGCAGGGGAGCTTTTCACTTGGCCACCTGTCATGCTGCCTTTCGGTGTGCGAACGAACGGCTATCTACTGGCCGACAGCGGTGTATCACAGCACCCGTCGGAGATTCGGTTTGACAACAAGCAGAAGGCGGCGAGGGGAGCAGTCGAGAGGGCTTTCGGCAGATTGAAGGGGATGTGGAGGTTGTTCCTTCGCTCCCACAAGACGAACATGGAGACGTTGCCGCAGCAATTCGTCGCCGTCTGCATTCTGCACAACATAGTCATCGACGCGGGCATCTCGTTCGACGACAATCTGCTGTGGGAGGTCGGGCCGAACGGTGTTCGTCGGAAGGTGGACCTTGGGATGCACCGCCCGTTGAGGCAGATGTGTATGGAGTCGTCGACGGGGGATGCGCTGATCCTGTGGGATGCACTGGCGGAGCGAATGGGTACGCAGTGAAGACGACCTGTCGTCGGGAGCGGGCGGTATGCACACACACACACACACACACACACAGAGAGAGAGAGAGAGAGAGAGAGAGAGAGAGAGAGAGAGAGAGAGAGAGAGAGAGAGAGAGAGAGAGAGAGAGAGA